TCAGCCTTCCAAGTTGCTGGAACGACAGGCGCGCTACCACGCCCGGCTGATTTTTTGATTTATTGTAGAGATGAGGTCTCACCAAGTTGCCCAGGTGGGTCTCGAACCCGCAAGTTCAGGCAATCCACTCACCTCAGCCTCCCAAAGGCGCAGGATTACAGGCTGAGCCAATGAGCCCGGCTGCACTCAACTTTTAAGGTATGAGCATTAACCCACATTTTCTAGTTCAATGGTACTTTCAAGTTGAATGGCAAATATAAAGGAAGGAGAAAGACAACTTGGAGACACTGAGAAAAGAGATGGAAGTCCATAGTTTTGCTAGAGTAGTCACCAGTTTTCTAGCCTTCAAAGCTGTCTCATGACTACCTGTTATCTTCCACTTCCTTTGCTCCCAGATCTTCTTTCTTTTTTTTTTTTTGAGTTGGAGTCTCACTCCGTCACCCAGATTGGAGTGCAGTGGCCACTCCTGGCCACCGCAGCCTCAACCCACTGCGCTCCGGCGATCCTTCCACCTCAGCCTTCCAAGTAGCTGGAACTACAGGCGCGGGCTACCACGCCCGGCTGATTTTTTATTTATTGTAGAGATGAGGTCTCGCTGCCCAGGTGGGTCTCGAACCCGTGGGCTCAGGCAGTCCACTCACCTCAGCCTCCCAAAGGTGCAGGATTACAGGCTGAGCCACCTAGCCTGGCAGATCTTCTAAACAGACTATTTTAAGGGAGGGGTTTGGGAGGATGAGTGAGAGTAGAGGTAGGTGAGAGGTAAATTTAAAATCAGATTAGCTTTTAACTTTGATTTTGTCTTGCATAATTTTGACAGGCAAGCAGAATACAAACAAATAGTATTTCTATACTGTTTTTTTAAAATGCTGAATGATAAAAGTTCTAGGGAGAAGTAGTAATGGTCTTTTTTGTTTGTTTCCTCATCTTCAGTTTTTCATAGTTTTTTGATAGGTTGAAATAGCATTAAGACATACTAAGAAGTTTGTTTTGAAAATGATTCATCTTTTTTTACCCAGCTTTATTTGCTTTCTTTGCACTCCATTCAAGAGCCACCTATCAAAAGTGCAGACTGTCTTGTAGAATATTGAAGTATAATATCCTGCTATTAGTTTTGTGATCATGCCAGTGCACAGTTAGAAAAAACAGCTCCCATTCTGTCCTGAATGCCAAGAAGCTATCACTTTCTAAGCTGCATGTCGATGTTTGATATTTATTGGGTAAAACATCTGTCCTAATTCTTCGGTTTCCTGGCTTCTGTTGTAATTTTACATGCAGAGGATTTCCCCTGATCCTTTCTTTAACATTATTTTTTTCCTTTGGCTTATATTTTAGAGGCCAAACTCAGTTCCTTAGATAAATATTCAAGCAACTGTTTAAAATGAGCTCTTCATTATTTATCTATCACATCTATTATTAAGAAAGCCCAGAGAATAAGTAAAAGTGAAAACTTTGCATTTTGTCAGAATACGTATCTGCATGAACCCACACAATCCAACTAGACTGCAGAAAAGAAGTGTTTTTAGATTTAGCCATCCTCATGTCAGATACATGGAAAAAAGAATGAACAAAGCAACTCAGATACCCATGAAAAAGGTCCATAATTTGTCAGTACTTTAAAAATGTATATGAGCACACTGTGTGAAGCCTATGGATAAATTACAAGTGAACCCCATCCACTTTTTCCTGTCTTGATTTTTCCCTTAAAAATTAACCTTTTTAACCCAAAGGAGCAATCACCAATATATTTTATTTTCCATTACATTTTGCTTTTTTTTAAGGTTCTATGGTTATTGTATCAGAAGTAATTAATTCAGTAAAAATGGTTTGATCCAGAGAAATAAGTGTCAGGACCAACTTCCAGAAAGAGAGATCAGGGAGAAAAATGACTACCTGGTACAGGAATACTCATGATGCTTTACTTGGCTCTAGAATGGAGTGCAACAGAAAGCAAATAAAGCTGAGTAAAAGAAGATGAATCATTTTCAAAACAAACTTCTTAGTATTTCTTAATGCTGTTTCAACTCTGTTGTCCTTCCCCTCCTCTGAAGTTCTGGGCTCTAAATTGAACCTAATCTTCCTTTTGGAAACAACATATGTAAATGCATGGGAATCACTGTCAACACAGTGCCATCATAAATTTAAACCAAAGTATGTAAAGCATATCTGTTGATACTGAAATAGGTATCCCAAAATCTGATGGTTTCCTATGTCAGAAAGAAATATACACAGTGTGGTTGGCAGCTGTTATCCTCAGGAAGTATGGCCACTTGTGTAGCGGTCTGAAAAGAAGAAACAAGCTTTTCATTATACATGCACTAGGTCACAATTTCTTGTTCTTTAATTCTGCTGTATTGAGGTATATCTTTGAAAGACTTAAGGAATAATAACATTTCCTAAACAAATTGGTTGTACATTTGAATGTAGATGTCCAGTATACAGAATAATTCTTTTATTTTTCCATAAATTTCCTAATCTCTATGGACTGTATTTGATTCTCCTTTTAAACTAAGCAGTAGGTTTCCAGTTTTGAGGTAGATATGCCAATCTTAGAATGTTAAGGTAATAAAACATTTTTTGCTAATGCACACTTACCTTTTGGCTGGGCTTATGTTAGGTCTGTTCAATTGGAATTATATATCCCTTCGGCCACCTTTCTGTCACCATCTCAGTTTGTCATACTTCATAGAGACATTGAAAAGGCTGTCTGTATAGTCAGTATAAACAGTAGATTTATCTTTAGAATATAAATTGATGATTATTTCTAATATTTATTGATAAGAAGCTTTAGCAAAGTATTACAATTTACTCTAGTGATCATTTTGAGAAGAGAAGCCTAGAAACCTTAGTTTACGCAAGCAATATTATAAAGTATTTTCTAACTAGAACATTTAGATGGTCTTAAGGAAAAATATCATATAGTGTCAAGTAAAAAGTTACCTTATCTTCAATTAAAGGACTTTTCTCACCATATCTCTCCTTTAATCTTTTTGTTACTTCCACCATAGTATTTTCTGGGCTCATCACTCTCACCCACCATTCTCAATTTTTTTTTAATGTCTGGGACTCACTGACTTGTTCTCCCCTGCCTTTGTTAAATTCTTGTTTCACTACTCCAATACCATGCAACTAAGCAACTAAAATATACTTTTTAAATTAATTTTTTTTTAATAGAGGCAGGGTCTCTCTTTGTCACTCAGGCAGGTATACTGGTGAGATCATAGTCCACTGCAGCCTCAAACCTCTGGACTCAAGTAATCCTGCCACCTCATCCTCCTGAGTAGCTTGGACTACAGACATGTGCCACCACATACTATGTTGCCCCGGCTAGTCTGAAACTGCTGACCTCTAATAATCCTCTTTGCGTTGGCCTCCCATTGGGATTACAGGCATGAGCCACCATGCCCAGCCAAATTACACTTCTTTAGACATGAAATTTTTTGTATCAGGTCTTGATTTTTGAAGCCAAATGTCTTCAGTAAAAAAGTCATGGGCTCAGCAACTGGAATGGACTTGTCTTGGGTTCCATCACTGCTGTTTAAATGGCTATGTGACCATGGGCAAGTTATTTAGCTTTTTTTGTGCTCTGATTTTCTTCCTGTAGTATAGAGATAATACTTTTTTGGTCTTAAGAGACAGCTGCAAAGTTTAAATGAGATCACGTATAGAAAGTGCCTAAAAATTATTTTATTTTCCTAGACTTGTTTATTTGTCTTTCTGATGACTTTCTGTATTAGCAATTTAATTAACTTTTTTTCCCTCAAAATTCTCTGTCGTGGACCATATGTTCACCTCAGGCAAGGTGTGATTGAGTCTGTCAAAAGCAACTTGAGTGTCTTCAATGCTGCACATGTGCCTATGCTTACATTTTTGACTACAATAATTTTGCCTCCTTCATTTTCCTTTAAAACTCAAGTCACCCGTGAAGTATACCTCATATCTTTAAAATAAAAATAAAGAAATAAAACTGAAGTCAGAATTCTCCCCAGTTATCATTACTTGGGAGATATTCTTGAATTTGCATTAACCCTGGTCCCCTTATAAAGTCATATTTTGAACTTTTACAACATATTCTCAGGTTATTTTCTTCCACCTGAATTCTTGCTTCTTACCTTTGACATATGCCTCCATTGCCTGCATTCTGCAGCTAATCATAGTACTTCTCATTTTGATTTTCCAGACTCCTTGTCAGTGTATACAGAAAAAGGCTTGCATTTGTGTTTCTGCCCAAGCCATTTCAGTGTGAAGGTCCCTCAGTTTGAGAAGTCAGAAGGGGACTCAGAAGTGTCTCCGTTTGAGGAGGACTGAAGGCAGAGTTCTAGCTCAAGCACAGGCTTCAAATGATCTGTGGGCTTTCTTTGATCATCCAAGTCAAAGAGAGGTTGATTCTTTTAAATGTCAGACTTTTGGAAGAAAATGTCTTCTATAGAAGGAAAGCCTGACTGCTAAAAATGGGCAGGAGTATATTATAATCTGCAGAGAGTATCACTGTCTTGAAAATAATTGTCTAGAAAATAATCTCAGATTCCATTTTTCCTTCTCTATGCTATATGACTTAGCCCAGAGGAGAGATAAACTGTCCCAGTAGGTAATAGATTCTAAATAGAAGAATCATAATACCTGTGAGGCTGGGTAGCTTTAAAACAATTTCATTAATTTGGACAGAATCTTCAGAATATAATGCATTTCCCAATCTCCATATTCAAATTCAGATATTATCTATTGACTCCTAACTCTTGAGGCAGATATGATAGCTCTATGACACAGAAATTATTATCAATTAGTGGGTAAGGACAGAGACTTAAAAAGGTTAAATGGAACTTTGGCCACATAATTATTTGATGGTTTCTCCTCTTCAAGTCTAGATACTCTTCTTTTTGCTGTGCTCTTTTGCTTTATTTTAGGTATCCATTTTCAGCTAGAGAAAAGCTCCAAGTGAATAATTACAGTAGATATAAAAAAAGGAATTCAAATTAGTAATATCATTATCTCTCTGTTTCTAGTTTGTTCAAAGCAGGTAACTGATGAAGCATCTTCCACTCGAGATTCAAGCCTTACTAACACAGCAGTGCAAAGCAAGTTAGTGTCTTCCTTTCAGCAACACACCAAAAAGGCTCTTAAACAGGTAAGGTAGCTGCCATTTGTTCTTTGTCCTTCAGTTCTACCTACTTTAGGTACTATGTGTTATACTGATCAAGTAAAATAAGTAAGAACCTAACAATCAGAAAGCAATGGGGATGTCCTGAATTCACCCATATCTATAATATGCAATTCAATAATTTTAATGTATGCTAGAAACTAGGAGAGGCTTGAGCGAGAGCTTTAATGTAAAATAGAAGAAGGAACATGTGCCTGGAAACATAAAAAATTGTATTAAGATGTATATGTGTGTGATTTATAGTACATCTATTGAGTTCATAAATGCGTATTTTAAAAGTAATGTCTCTATGGCTCAATTGTGTTTATCCAATAGCTAGTGTTAAAAAGTAATGATAGTGTCTTGCTTCTTGCTGAGATGCATTAAGTTACAAATCAGACATACAGGGAGCATGGCTTACTTAGATCTAGAATATCCGTCAGTGAGTGTTGTTTGGTGCTGAATGGCAGTTACCTTTGCAGCATCATCCTGATAGCACATAAGCATACTGACCTGAGTGACCTTGCACTGTGATGGTAATAGGGAGGAATGGTTATAAGGCTTGGCTGGGTGTGTGGACATATCCTGGTTTGAATCCTTGCCATCCACCTTGTGACTGTTGGCAATCCCCTTCTTCATGCTGAATCTCAAATTCCTTATCTAAAACATGTGGAAAATAGTAATGATGGTGAATGCTGCCCTACTCATAGATGCTGAGTTTTGCAGAGAAGAAAAGGAAGAGATGGTGTGGTTACTTGGGATCACTGCATGATGATAATACCAAGAGTGTCAGTAGATGGAAGGCTCACATAATTCACCCTGAATTCATGGTTTTCCCTTTTTTGTGTGCTTTGCTTTTGCACTCTGATCTTTCTGTAACAACCCCCCTCTAACCTTTCCTTGATGACCCTTACCAGGTTCAGGAAAAGGGGTATCAGTCTAGTGATATATTTATAACAAGGAAAAGAGAAACTGTTTTCTAAAAAGTAGTTAATTTTTAAAAACCTTCTACCAATTTCTAAAGTGTCTTAATAGTCACATTCAATCTTCTAGACTTAGAGCCTCTCTTCCTATCTTTTCCCCTATCTGAGATAAGAAAATGTGGGAATGAAGCTTAATATTTTGTACTGAATTATATTACCTTTTTATTCCATATTAATTATTAAAATTGCATTTCCATTCATTGGTATTATATTTAAGGTAATAATGATATTTAATCCTGCATAGGTCAAGTAATCTTTGGGAAGCTTGCCATTTATATCATTGATTTTGTGAAATGTTTTAGATGCCAGAGAACAAAACTGAAATCAGTGTTGAGATCCCTTTTTAATTGATGAAATAAAAGATGGATGTAGGTAAGGAAGCCAGGGCAAAGACTTTTTCAGGCAGCAAATAAGATACAGGTAATAAAATACTAATCAGGATAAAACAAAAGATACAAAACTGGACACTTGTAGCTGTGGCATTTAAGAACCATAAATGGGATCATAAAAGAAACAGATTCTTCTGGGGTTCAGTGACTCGGAAAATGTGCATACTGTGAAATCTTTCTGCATGTGAATGGGAAGATAAAGATTCAAGTCTTTGTGTTGTTATAGCTCATTATTTTTTGCTTTCTTCATTTTAGTTTTAATTTATCTGAACACTTTTTTGTAATTATTAAAACATTACACAACTTGTGCGTGGATTTTGTTTTGTCTTGTTTTGTGGAGCATGTGTTCATGGGAACAACCACCTGCTTGCTTAGGGTTTAAGTATTGTTTTAAGAAACCTGTCCTGTAAGCCTCTTAATGTCCTGAAAGAGTTATTTATTTATCTCTTAAAACTTCTATTTTATAACCAAGCAGCAAATTAGTTACCAGGAGAATATGACTCAATATATAGAAGATATGCTAATATTTGATTAATAATCAAATTCATATTGGAAATATATTTAGAAGAAAAGCTGTTCTTGCAGAATTTTGCCCAGATTCCATGTAATTGCTGAATTTCTTAAGACAGCATTGCAAAAATTGACTGAACATGCAGCATTTTAAATTGTAGCAACCTCAGCAAATCTGCAGCTTTCTTTTCTTTAGGATAGTTGAATAACATGACCATGTAAAATTATTTGTAAGTGTATTATATGCATATATATAATATATATATACACACACACATACATATGAGTGTATTTATATGTGGTGTTTTGTGTTTGTGAATATATGTTTTGTGCATATGTATACAACCCACAAGATATAATCATATTGAAGCTGGGACCAGTTGAATGACCTTCATAATAATTACAATAACTAATATTTACCTTTTCTGATAGGACATTATTCTCTTCATTTTACCTGTAATTTGCCATTTAAATCTCATGCAAATACCTTGAAGTGTGTACTCTTATTTTCACTTTTCAAATGAAGAAACTAAGGCCCAGATAATTTAGATAACTTGCCCAAGATAAGATCACTCAGCGAGTAAATCTTGGAGCTGTCATTTGAATCTTGAATCATAGTTTCCAATTCTACCCTTTTCTCTAATACTGCCTTTCAGCATATAGTATGTAATTACCTAGATCAATTTTTGATGCTATCCAAGGAAATGTACATTCTTGAGTTTCTGTATAGCATAAGGAAAGCAATGCAGATTACTTATTAAGAATAGCACCTCTGAACGTACTGCTTATATTCAACTCAGTACCAGTTCATGTTAATGGCACATCCTTAAACATTTAAGCCATTATTTTTTATTATAAATATATTCTGATTCAGCATTAGTAGTCCAATGCTACATCAGCCAGTATGGACTCTTAGAAAGATGTAGAACAAAAAAACTTCTAAAAACCTAATAGCATTATAAGTATAATAAATAATAATAATTTAAAACAAACCCCCTTGCAAAATAGGTCAGGCATAATTTCCCAGGCTGAAGCCCCCACCAAAAGCACATTGCTATAGAGAATAGAGTCTCTCTGACTTCACAGCACTGTTGATTGCAGAGTAACCATAGGCTGGACAATCTAGAAGCTATAGTGACCCTTGGCTGTTGACATAGAGTATTTTCATTGCTCCCAAATATTCAGGTCCCTTTTACTTTCTAATCATCAAAACATTAGTTAACATCATATGTTGGGTATAATTGCATGAATGATATATTGTGATTTCAGTAGTAGTCTTTTTGTTGTCGTTGTTCCTGAGTAAGCATATTCAGAAGCCTCCAGAGAGCGGCAGATTGGGGATTAATACCTTGTTCCCTGTCTTTGTTCTGCCTTGGTATTTTTGTTATCATGCCCCTAAAAAGTGTGAAATGATTAGATTATGAATTTTAAAGAAAGATGATTAAGATTAAATGTGGAAAGTTTAAGCAGAAGAAAATGAAGGATTAAAGATGAATGAGTTTTGTTATAGCAAGTAACATGGTTGTGAACATAACCTTTGTGTGTTGTTTCTGTTGGTTTATTGGACTTTCTTCATTATTTATTTGGGGTGGTAGAATTTATTCATAAAGTTGCAGATCCTTTTCCTTTTTGATATTGCAAAGCAGATATATTCTTCGTATTTCACTCTAGCTTTGCATGTTTGACCAATACTGTGAAATTCCAAAGGTTATCTGGCATGATAGCAGTTTCTGAACATGGGCATTGACATTTAGCATACTAGCAACAAGGCGGGTTATTGGTGCTTGACATAGCCATCTGTTTCTTATGTATATATTTCTAATTATTTAAGTTTTAGCATTCACAGCATGTGATATTTTCAGAATTTCAGTGGAAGAATGCATTCAGTGCATTCTTAAGTTACTTGTTGATGTTGTTTCTTTATTAAAATAAAGCAGGCATCACTTGCTTAAAATTCCAAGTTAACACAAAAGCCTCTGATTTGAAGTTTTATTTCATTTTTCCATTAGGGTAGAAATGAAAACCAATCCATATATTTAGAATTATCTGACAAGCTTTCTGACTAAAAAATGAAATGTTTATTTAAAGTTTTTTTTCCCTCTCTTTTTGCAAGAAAGCATTGAAATATGTCTCCAGAGAAAAGCATACTCAGTCAGCATCTTTTGATTTCTTTCCTTTCACTTAAAGCCAGAGTTGAATTGATGTGAGTGTGATACAATCTTTATTTTTCCTAGACTGGTTTGGCTATGTTTTGTTTGCCTCCTTTAAAAAGTACATTTATTTCCAGGTTTAAGCCTGTAAATTTCTTTCATATTGAATGATACCTGGATGTGTTAAAATTGGTAAGTCCAGTTTTGCTTCATCTTACAACATTGCAGATATTCAAATTGTGCTCTGTAGTTTGGGCAATAGAACATTATACATGTGAGCAGCTTGAAGGTACATTCTATCATAGTAGACTGCATTTACAAGCACCACCTGCCTGTTTATGTAGGCTCTGATATTGCTCTCTTTCTGGATTTGAAATGGCAGGATTTGAAGTTGTTCAATAAGATAGTCCATTCATGTTCCAAAGTACAGCTAAGGCTTGAGACAGTTAGAGGTGCTTCATTGATATCAATCCCTTAAAATGAATCCAGACTAAAATAGTAAGACTAATTCTATAATACCAGTGTCAAAGTAAAACCATGTTATAGGCTGACAGGGCCACTACAAGCTAATTAAGATTCTGATATGGAATAGACAAAGTTATCACAACATGAAAAAACATCCCTCTTTTAGAGTATCCTTATACAGGACGCACCCTCCACAACCCTCTAAAGTGACCCTCCTAATCCTGTTTTCTTACTATGTTACATAGATTTATATTTCCCAGGCTGTGATATACCTAGATTTAGATAATTGTAAGTTTAATTGCAGATAACTTCTATTTTATATGTATCATAATATAAAATAGGAATTTTTGTGTTTTCTTAGAATTTAACACAAGCTCAAAACTGAGAACAATATAATACAACTATGTTTTGAAGAGAGGTGTGGGACACAGCTTCAAAGGTCTTATTAATAGGAGGCCAGATGGTTCATTGAACATTCCCCAACAGATACA